CCCTTCATCCTGCTCTCTGCATGGAGGACCCTGTCCAGAAAAAGGGACCTGACAAACTCCCAGTACTTGTCAGAGAGTAGAAAGGAAGAATGACAAGGACCAGGGTCCCAGGAGGCAGCCTAGGGCCACAGGGGGCACACCCACCAGGCCGACTGAGTGGCTCTGCCTGGTCCTGGGTGTGGCCACCTCAGATTCCTGGTGGTGGCGGCAACCCGGCCCTCCCTGTGCAGCTGTCACCTGACACCAGGGGCCCAGCCATGCAAAAGCCAACACAAACCACCTGGCCCTGTGCAGGGGGCAGCTGGCCAGGAACAGGCTGTTTGTCCATCCAGGACCTGGGGGTGGGGCTGGGGAGGCTAGGCCAGGGCAAGAAGGACTGGGCAGGTCCCCCTGCAGCCTCTGGGGACCGGCACCAGGGCCTCCTCATGGGTGTGGCTGATTAGACGCACCAGGGAAGGAGCAGGCCCTGCTGGCTGATGACTTATCTATCTTCCCAACAAGCTCAGGACCCACTGCATGTGATAAACGACTTCTTCACAGGTGAAGAAACTGAGGCTCAGAGAGGTGAAGTCACCACCCTAAGGCCACACAGCCAGTTAGCAGAGAGGACAGGATTGTCCTTATCCCCAATCACTGCCCTCCGGCATATGCTTAGGCTGGCTGCATAAGCTCCCGAGGTCTCAGTTTCCTCACCTGCAGAGGGGAACAACACCCTCTCAGTGAAGTAGCCAGGATACAGGGGTTGCCACGATAAAGAAATGGAAGCACAGAGAAGCTTCCATGGCCACACAGTGCAAAGGTGCCAGAGCGCACATCTAGGCCCAGGTTGTCGGGTACTAAGTCCCTGCCCTTAACCAGTCTCCTGTCCCATCCGGTCTCCTGATGCCTGGCCCACAGAGAGCTCCCACTGAACTAGAGTTGTCCCTGTGGCAGCCAGCCCCTGGCAGGAGTCTGGTCATGGTCATAACTTCTACCCCTGAACACGCAGCTCCACAGGCCCCTGGGGCAGCGCTCCTGCTCTCTTTGGGGCAGCTTGCTGGCCATGGCTACAAAGGAGTTTGTAGAAGGAGAGGCCCAGAACTGATTTAGAAGCTCGTGTCTATAAGCCACTAAGGTTAAGACCGTGTTGGCAACACTGTCCTGCTATCCCACCCCCAGGACCAGGCCTTGTAGACTGGCAATCTCAGAACAGGTGACCAGAGTCCCCAGGCACAGACACTCTCCAGGGTCTGATACCACCTGCGTCTGACCTACGCTAATGACTCATTTGGTGCTCAGGGGCCAGCTCGGTTCACACACTGTCTGCTGGACCGTCCCTCGAGGATTCCCAGGCTCCCTGGATTTAACCTCAAGCCAGCAGTAACACCCGTAGAGCTGGACCATTCAAAATTGTAGCCACAGTCTCGCAAGCTCAAGGTCCTGAGTTTGTTCCCGAAACAAACAAACAAAAAAATTGTAGCCACGAGCCAGGTGTGGTGGCTCATGCCTATAATCCCAGAACTTGGGAGACTGAGAAGGATCACTGCAGGTTTGAAGCCAGCCTGGATTTCATAGTGAGTTTAAGGTCAGCCTGAATGGCATAGCGAGACCCTGTCTCAAAACAACCACCACAAAAAAAGAAAGAAGGAAAGGGCTGGGGATTTAGCTCAGTGGTTCCACCACCTGCCTCACAAGCACAAGGTCCCGAGTTCGATCCCTGGTACAAAAAAGAAAAAAGAAAAGAAGGAAGGAAGGAAGGAAGAAAAAAAAAGAAAATGTAACCATGAGCATGTTCAGCCCTGTGTTTAGGTGTGGACCCACATGGTCCTCACATCAGTCCTATGCATAAGCTTCTAACATTACCTCCATTTGCAACAAGGGACCTGCCTGAGCTCACACAGCAAGTGCACCAGCAGCCGGGTGTCAGGATCGGGCACTAACCACTGGGAAAACTTCCCTTCCATGAACAGAGACCATGGCTGTTTCCATTTTGTCCAAATCGAAATGATTAAAACATCACTGAAACTTGCTCCTGGGCTCCTCTGCCCTGTGTTTGACACCACCAGCCACCCAGGACAGAGACCTCAAGGTGATGCTGGACGCCCACCTCTCTCCCCTGTTCCCTGTCCCCCGCCCTCCTCACTCCTACACTGTATCTAGCACCGGCTCTCATCAATTTCATTCCCTAACTGGTTCCCTGCTCCTGTGCAGGAACAATCTTATCCCCCCAGGAGATATTTGGCAATGTCTGGAGACATTTGCATTGTCACATCTTGCGGGGTGGGAGGGGGCACGCCAAGGGGTATGAATAGCATCTAGGAGGTAGGAAGCTGGGATGCTGCTAGGTATCCTACAATACCTGGCACAGGCCCCATGACACACTGCCCCAGATGTCTCCAGGGGCCAGGGTTGAGAAGCCTCGCCCCTCTCCCCCTACTGGGCTCCTCTCTGGACACTTTTAAAGTCTCCTAAGTTTATCTGCTTTACTCGGTGAAGAAAAAAATCCCCAGACAGCTTTTCTAAACTGTTAGTACAATTGCTCACCACCTCCTGCTCAAAATCCACCAAGTCAGGCCCAGACTCCCAGGTTGCAGTTTCCCTTCTGCTTGCTTTCCAGGTCCAGGAGCCACCAAAAATTGGACCAACCAGGGCACCAAATCCTCCAGGATCTGGCCTGCTGGCTCCATTTCACTCCTAGGGCCTGAAGAGACTGTGGGGGCTTCCCACTCCCCTCTCCCTACCTCCTTCTCTCTACTCCCCAGAAAGGCCATCAGCCCCACCCTCCCTAAATCTTGAAGGCCAAGGCCTACTCCTCTGAGATCCCCGCAGGCCTTGGCCTTGGGCCCAGTGTGTAGCAGGTGCTCGAAGCAGCTTCTTGTAGGCAGATGGAAGAATTCAAAGACTCCTCCCTCCCTTGCCAGGTCTGTGGGTGGGGTTGGTGAGTTTGGGGACCACCAACGGGGGGGGGATGATTCCTTTACTCCAGCTCCACCCCAGCCTCACCCACTATACCTAGGGAACTTGGGGCGAGGGTTCAGGTCCCTTTGCTGAGCCTGTCTATCCGGTTTCTGCTGGAATTGGCCACCCCTGCTGACAGTGAGAGGTGCATGCTTCACCAAGGGGGTTGGAGGCACTTGGGTCACCCAGGTGCCCCCCAGTACCCATGATATTTTCCTTCATGAGCAAAGTCGGCAGGCCCTAGGAATCTTGAGATTCCCCCCATTCCTCCATCTTCACCCCCATTTCCCATGGCCCTAAAGCAAGCTGTGAGAGGAGCATTCATATAGAAAACCTGGATTTCAGAGGCAGATGCCTCACAGAAAAGCTCCATGGTGACACCCTCTCCCACGGGGCAAGACCACCAAAGGAAAATGGCAGGGTATGCTGGGCACCCTGACCCCCTCTCCCAACACAGCAAGACCTGGGAAGCGCCTCTCCACCCCACCCCATCCCCTAAGTCCCCAGCAGCTAATGTTCCTAGGCCACACTAGGCTTAGCACTGAAGTTACGTGATTGCATGCGCAGCCAGTCACAAATCTATGGCATGGGCGATGGACACATGGCCACCTACTTGTACATTGTGAGGCTGGGTCTGAACTTGTGCAAACCAACTTTTCTCAAAAAGAAAAAAAATTGAAGAAGAGAAGTCCTCATTTTCTATAAAGAGAGGTGCTTTTCTGTTTGGTTGATTTTGGAGTGGTGTTTTTGTTTGTTTGCTTGCTTTGTTTTGTTTTTGGTTGAGACAGGGTTTTACTTTGTAGCGCAGGATGGCCTTGAAGTCCCTGTGTAGCCCAGGCTGGCCTCAAATTCGTGGCCATTCCCCTGTCTCAGCCTCTTGGATTCAGGCATATACCACCATGTCTAGCAAGAGAGGTGCTTTTTCCTCATTGTCCAGTCTAACATTCACTGGTTCCTCTGGAGAAGAGGATATCCCAAACTGAAGTCACCAACAAAAGTGAGATTTCCCAGCTGGGGAAATAGCTTAGCGTTCATGAGGGCCTAGGTTCAATCCCCAGTGCCATTAAAAAAAGCCAGGCATGGCACTCACCTGTAATCCCAGCACTCGAGAGGCTGAGGCAAGAGGACTGCCACAAATATGAGGCCAGCCTGGGCTATATAGTGAGTTGAAGGCCAGCCTGGAGTCACAGTAGACCTTGTCTCAACGAACAAAAGGTCAGAACCCTACCTGTAAATTTACTCTGGAAGGTTAGGCCCCTAAGGGAAGATGTCCCCCTTCCTGAAGTCCACTTGGAGCAGAGATCAAAGCAGAGAGGAGAAGGCTAATTATCCCCAAGCACCCCCAGATTGCTAGGTGGCAGTGGCAGGAGCTAATGAGCCACGCGGTGCTCCTGTTTACAGGCCTGTGCTGGTCTTGTCAGGCTCCGGCTCGAGCTCCCTCCAGCAAACCATGTAGAGTTTTCCTCTAGGGCCGTAGGAGTGGGACTGGGATAGCCAAATGCCAACTCTGACTGCTCTGGGAGCCTCTCCTCTCTCACCTGGGCCCGCAGTTCCAGGAGGAAGGAGGCATCCAGCCTGCTGAGAAAGCTGTGTTTTCTTCTGAGGGTAATGTGAGGAGAGAGGGAACAGTCATGTATGAAGCCTCTTTTTTTCTCCAGGACTGGGGATTGAACTCAGGACCTTATGCTTGTGAGGGAGGCACAGTGCCACTGAGCTACATCCCCAGCCCTAAAGCTTCCTGAACCCTGAGGGCCCTGGCATCACTGGAACATTATTATACCTTGATGCAGGACTCAGTACTCTTTCATCTTTTCTTCGCCTACACCTCCAGGGCAGCCCTGCAACAAGGCAGGCAGGACAGATTGTTTTATACCCATTTTATCGGGGGCATGACTGAGACTGCATAGTGTGACTTCCAGGGGTCAAACAGCCAGCTGTCAAGAGACCTGTGACAAGGAGTCCCAACTCCTAAGTATCCCACTGGCCTTTCCCAGGAATGCCCTCTGGCCATACCTCACTTCCAAAGTCAGGGTCCGGCTCCCATTCTGTCCTTACTTACGCACCTTGTTAAATTGGAACAGGTCCCGCCTGAGCCTCTCCCGCGTAGGGTCGTGCCCTGGTCTCAGGAAGCGCCTCATGTTTGCAGCCACCCACTGGAGACCTGCAGGAAGAGGAAGGAGCCCTTGAGGGTTGCCCCAGAGCTGTGCTGGTTCCACAGTCCAGGCCCACAGCAGCCTGTGGGCTCTCCCCAAGCCCAGGACCACCCGTGGCTTCCTGTGCACCAAATGCAGTATAGTCCCCAACCTGGAGTCCCAGGCCGCTCACAGGCCAGGCCTGCTGCTGGCTGGTTAATGCTCTAATGCTACTCTTAGCCTCAGAAGGGAGCAGAAGCCACTTAGCCTGGCTTTATAGGGACAAGGAGAATCAGCAGGACCTGCAGTTAATTAGCTTAATTGTTAACCTGTTTTCTAAAAAAGCCATAAAAGTTTGGCTAATCAGAAAGAGAAACTTCATAAACCTCCCTCCAGAGCCAATGGAAAGGAGCTGTCCTAGGGACTCCCCATAAGAGCCCAAATGGGGCCAGGGAGAGGCCAGGATCTATCTGGGGTCAGCAGCCTCTTCCTTCTAACTGCGTCTCACTCAGGTCTCTGCAACCAGCCCTCGCCATGGGAATGCAAGTCAGGGAGGCACAGAGCACTCAGCAGGGGCGCTGGCCCATCCGCTGGTTCTTGGAACAAGGGCCCATCCCAGAGGGCTGCTGGGGTCTCTGCAGCAGGCCCAGCCCCAGCTTCCCTCCTGATCCCCATCCCAACTCCAGCTCATGCCCCACCCCCACCCCCACCCCCGCTCCAGCACCCCTGGGATCTAATGGGGAGTGCTCAGAACAGCCCCCCTCCTAGGG